ACCCAGTGTGGGACATCCCTGTTCGACTGCGAGTCACCGCAACAGGCATATACGGCATAGGGCCCCGGACTTTGACGAAGGCGGTGACGAGGGGCGCCCTGAAGACTTCAATCGCTGTCCCAGAACTGCCTTGGAAATTGAAGAAATTCACTGATTCGGAACTGATTCAGAACTGATTCAGATGAATCCAGGACTGTGGGATTGAACCCCTCCGTCCCTATTGAATGTATGACCAATGCTTCCTCAGATTGGGCCATTGGGACTTGGAAGACATGCCAGAAAGACTTGAATCTATAAAACCTATAAAGTTTTCTAAGTGGTAATATCTTAAAATGTAATTGCTGTAGCTCGCAATGCATGTCTTTGCACTGTGTCTTGAAACCAAAGACCCACAAAGAAATGCATGAGCATCATGTGACACATGTGAATCATATATTGATTTTTCGTTCATTTCTCCCAGATCGATTTTGGCAACTCAGCATTCAACTCCGATGATTCGCATTGGAAATGATCGTAGTCCTGAAGCGATGGGCATGCATTGCCTCTTGTTGAAGGCTCTTGAAGCATGTAGACATAGCAATGTGCACATATATATATATACAACTATATATTATGCAATGTTATACATGTGTGTGTTATGTATTTGACATGTATGTATAAATATGCATATGCATAGTCATACCTGAGAAGCGGTGGAACGAAAGCCAGCGCTTGTTTTTTGACTCGCGCGGGGGCGCGTGAAACTGAAACTCCACCTCATCCATATGGCATGGCTCAAACATGAAACGCCCCAACATCAACAATTGCTATCGGGTCATAATTTTCCAATCATTAAATGGACCTTTTTAGGGTAAACTCCACGATTTTGTAACTTCTATATCCAATATGTTTCCTACAATGTACTGCGGCATTGTGAAAAGTTCTATCTCAAGTTCCGTAAATCCGCCTTTGGTTGCTCATTTATCTTAAAACAGCGCAAGTTTGCTCCCACCTATTGTAGATAAATAATACCCGTTTTTTTGTGTGAACAGTGGTCATGTGACCTCTCAAAGTCTAAATTGTTTTCTCCCCAGCGTGGTCCATGCTTCTCCGCGAAGTTCCGCAATATTTTGGCCGTACGGTGAGAAATCAAAACATAGCTCTACTCGCAAAATGGGCAGTGCAAACCCAAGACAATATTATAACATACGTAAGAAAGGGTATAAGAACGAATGAAATCGAGGAAAACAATGCAAAACCCACGGGAAATATAGAACAGTGGCGAACATGCAGTCCAAATCAAAAGTATATATATTTAGGCTATTTACAGACCTGGGTACCCCCCCCCACCCCCCAAGGGTCTGGAAAATAGGTATTTTACAGGAAATGTCGCGGAATAGCATCATCCCTGACATCGATAGAGATAATTGTTTGGCATCCCGGAAAATCTTCTCAGCTATCACACTCGCCAAACATCCCTTTTAAAAGGCACACGTCATTGCCATTAGAAGATTCAAATTCTTTCTCGGTGTTTTAGTACAAGATTCACTTTTAGTTCTGTTTCAGCCTTCTCAGTACGGCCTCTTACAATGATATTACAGCATTTGTCTCCTAACCTAGGTGGCTCCTGGGCGCAATCTTCATTCCAATGCTTTGTGACAATAACCAGAGGCCTGGAGCCTATGCATCACTTGACAGTCGACTCAGTTCTAAACCGGAAAGACTATTCCTTCCGTTTACCAGTAGATCGTTTTTGTAGTTCTTATCACAAAACTACCAGAATCAGGGAGGCACCAAAAAACGTCAAACAGCTTTAAGCATTATAAATACTCTAATCTGCAGATTGTATTTATTTTTCTTACTCTGTGAACGAAATCACACTTTTCTAACTTCACACAGATTACCATGAAACACATTTTCCCATGCAACTCCTAAAATCTTACAACTCATACATCTTTTTTCCTATACCATCCGCATCTTGCTCCAAGGTTTCATGGCAATGTCTTGTACGCGAGTCAGCCACTATTTCCTATCACCAAACTACATTGCTCATCATCTAACATTATCTACAGAAACCAAATCGGATTTCCTGCTCAACGTTTCCGCTCGTTGACATTGTCTTGGTTTTCACTATATTTTTTAAAGCATTTTTTAGTTATAACATTTTCCTAGGTTTTCACTGTATTTTTCTAACATGTTACATGCCTCCTAGCATGTTCACGCGTGTCCTCCATGTTGTACTGTTTTCTACATCGTTTCCTCTAGTTGTTACAAGCATTTCCTAGCTTGTACACCGTTTTCCTAATATTGTCACAACTTTTCTTCCAGTTTCCACTGCTTTTTCTACCGTTTCCTGTGGTTACTTTCTTCTCTTTTGTAGGTTTTCACTGTGTTTTGTCCAGCTTTTTTTATTACATGCTTCCTACCATTTTCACCGCTTTCCTCTATGGCTTTTTGTACCATTTCCTCTCGTTTCCTGCATTTCATGCATTTTCAATATATTTTTCCAAGAGTTTTACCCGTCTCCTTCAGTTTCCGATCGTTTTTGCACCATTTCCTCTGGTTGTTATCGCATTTTCCTGCACTTTCACTGTATTTTTCCAGCATGTTTACTGCATCGTCATAGTTTGTTCCTAGCAGTCGCTCCGGTTTCCTCCATGTTCCAACAGATTTTGCACCCTTTATTCTGGTTGTTATCACATTTTCCTGCCAGGTTGTTATCACATTTTCCTTCACTGTATCTTTCCAGCATTTTCCAGTGGATTTTGCACGATTTCCTCTGATTGTTATCATGTTTTCCTGCAGTTTCTATATCCTCTTCGTGGGTTTTCAGTCTATTCATGCATTTTTAATCTATTTTTCCAAGATTTTTACCCGTCTCCTTTTTGCACCATTTCCTCTGTGCATTTTCAATGTATTTTTTCCAAGAGTTTTACCCGTCTCCTTCATTTTCCGATCGTTTTTGCACCATTTCCCTGGTTGTTATCGCATTTTCCTGCACTTTCACTGTCTTTTTCCAACATGTTTACTGCATCGTCATAGTTTGTTCCTAGCAGCCACTCCGGTTTCCTCCATGTTCCAACAGATTTTGCATGGTTTGTTCCTAGCATTTTCCTCTGATCGTTATCATGTTTTCCTCAAGTTTCATTGTATTTTCCAATACATCCTCTTCGTGGGTTTTCAATATGTTTTGTCCAGCATTTTTTTACTACATGTTTCCTATCATTTTCACCTCTTTCCTCCATAGGTTTTTGCACCATTTCCTCTGGTTTCCTGCATTTTCATGCCTTTTCAATATTAATATTAATCCAAGAGTTTTACCTGTCTCCTTCATTTTCCGATCCTTTTTGCACCATTTCCTCTCGTTGTTATCACATTTTCCTGCACTTTCACTGTATTTTTCCAGCATGTTTACTGTATCGTCATGGTTTGCGCCTAGCATTCGCTCCGGCTTCCTCCATTTTCCAAGCGGATTTTCCACGGTTTGTTCCTAGCATTCGCTCCGTTTTCGTCCGTTTTCCAGGGGATTTTGTACGATTTCCTCTGATCGTTATCATGTTTTCCTGCAGTTTCATTGTATTTTCCAATACATCCTCATGGTCTCTCCGGCCACCAAAAAGGTGGACCTAGGGGGAATCGATACCCCACCGTCAGCAAATTGCCTAGTGGTACATAATCCAGCAAAATGCTCCGTTTTCTGGCGCTCAACACAGGGGCCCGGCGAGATTTCGTTCCCTTTCGGCAACCACCCCCCCCACACCCCCTATTCTCACTTCGTTCGCAAACAGCAACTAGCCAGCTAGCTGGCTTTCATAATATATATATATATATATATATATGATGATACAATACAAGTTAATTATCATATATCGGATATATCGTTTACGCCCTAAGAAATCTCCCTGCGGCTCGGCCTCTGCGGATGTTGAGCACTCGGATGTACCACTGCAAGTGTAGTCCGATGAGATGACATGGTTTCCTTCGAGCGAATCCACTGCGATGTGTTTTGCAAAAAGCGATGCGACATGATGCGACCTGTTTCATTGCTATCGTTGCACTTCGTTTTATGCCTCGGAGAGGCGCAGGTGGGCCCATATCGAACTCGAGCAGAAGCCTCGGTCGAATTCCAGCTGTCACGCGCCCTTCGCCCAGCTCTCCACGGTTGGGAAGCCAACGCGGCGTTCAAAACGGGGCACTTGCGAACCGAGATTACCTCACGATGCAAGGGGTAATGCAAAGTGTGACGCAACATCTCACAACTGAAAAGCAAGTGAAAAATGTGAAAAGCAGCTGCATCGAGTGTCCGGCCTGAAATCCAAGTCGAAGAAGTGAGCATGCCAGTCCTTCACCTCGACAAGGCAGAAAGATTCCATGTTATGTACTGAGTCATGCACTTTTTGTGTCCATCAAACTGGGATGATCATCCCACAGTACTTCCTACTTTAATGGATTTCCTCCACGAACTATGAACTGCCTATAGTAAATCTACGAGACAAACCCGATTGAGACCTTCACCGAACATGGTGATTTTATGAATTTAATGTCCGCAGCGTAAATGATAGTAAAACTAGATAAAACTAATCGAAGGAAGTTTAGAAGTCAAACTTCCGACAATATGGACAGATGAAAAGCAGAGCAGGGAAGAGGCAGAGAGAAGAGAAAGATTAGAAGAAAGAAGTGTAGAAGAGAAAGAGTAAGAAGAAGGAAGATGGAGATGCGCGAAAAGGTAGGAAAGTCGCGAAACACTGTGTTTTTCCAATGATTTGGGGCTCCGGAGGGTCGAAAAGTAGGCTCGCTAAAGCGGCGGGTGCGGAGCCAGCTGGCCAGATGAGAGATGAAAAGTTGCACGCCGTTGTGGCGCAAAGCACATTTCGAAGTTAAAATGTACAAAACACGCCATGTTCGGACCACTTTTGGAAGTTGCGATGTCGAAAAAGTGCACGCCGTTGTGGCGCGAAGCACATTTCGAAGTCAAAATGTACAAAGCACACCATTGCCGGACCACTTTTGGAAGTTGCGATGTCAAAAAAGAGCACGCCGTTGTGGCGCGAAGCACATTTCGAAGTCAAAATGTACAAAACACACCATTGCCGGACCACTTTTGGAAGTTGCGATGTCGAAAAAGTGCACGCCGTTGTGGCGCGAAGCACATTTTGAAGTCAAAACGTACAAAACACACCATTCTCGGACCACTTTTGGAAGTTGAGATGTTGAAAAAGTGCACGCCGTTGTGGCGCGAAGCACATTTCCGAGTCAAAATGTACAAAACACCACATGTTCGCGCCACTTTTGGAGGTTCGGATGTCGATTCGCTTCACTACACTACACTACATTACACTAAACTACACTCCACTACACTACAGGACATTGCACTACACTACACTCCAGTACACTACATTACACTACACTACACTCCAGTACACTCCACTACACTAAATTACACTATACCACACTACATTACACACACTACCCTCCACTACACTACACTACACTTCATCACATTACACTACACTACATCACATTACACTACACTATCTTACACTACACTTCACTACCTTACACTACACTACACTCCATTACACTACAATGACTAAAACTACAACTACACTACACTCCACTACACTCCACTACACTTAATTACACTACACTACACTACATTACACTACACTACACTACATTCCGCCACACTCCACTACACCACACTACATTACACTACACTACACTACACCGAATGACACTGCACCACAGATAGACAGGTAGACAGATAGATAGATAGATAGATAGATAGATAGATGAAAGGGAGAGAGAGAGAGATAGATAGATAGATAGATAGACAGATGAATAGATAGATAGATAGATAGATAGACAGATGAAAGGGAGAGATAGATAGATAGATAGATAGATAGGTGGATAGATAGATAGATAGATAGATAGATAGACAGATAGATAGGTAGATAGATAGATAGATAGGTAGATAGGTAATTAGATGAAAGAGAGAGAGAGAGAGAGGCCAGCTGGGTAGATGAGATAGCTAGACAAATAGATAGATAGATAGATGGATAGATAGATAGAGAGAGAGATAGATAGATAGATAGATAGATAGATAGACAGACAGATAGACAGATAGATAGGTAGACAGATAGATCAGTAGGTAGGTCGGTAGATCATCAGAGAAAGATAGAGAAACAGAGAGAAAAAGAGAGAAAGAGAGAAAGAGAGAGAAAGAGTGAAAGAGATCAAGCACCTTTCAGTCCATCAGTGGCTTCGCTCTGCCATCCCTGATTCACAACAACCAAACTCTCCTATAGGTTTCCTATTTTGAAACTTCCGCCACCGCCTCGTGCGGTACTACTGGTAAATGCAATGGACACAAGGCTTCCCTTGGGCAATGACAACTTGCGTGCTCCGGACTCAAGCCCATGATGATCTTTCGCGTGCTGCAAGCCTGGAACGAGTGACGGATGACTGGGATGACTGGGATGACTGGGATGACTCTCTAGATCCGAACCATGTGAAGCTCTGCCCAGATGGAATGGGAAGGCGAAAATCGAAATACCGAAATATGCTGCAATAGTATTGAAACAAATCTTGATATCTTGATTTTTTCTGAAAATGTTTGAAACATGTTGAAACAGGTCGGTCATGTTAGTTATTCTGGGGAAGTTCTGTTCATGATATGTTTCGGCCTCGGCCAGGTCCAGCAGAGTGCGGATGGCACTCTTCGTTGCATCTGAGATTCCTTCAGTTTGCATCAAAGGTTTGGGTGTCAAAGTGTTGCAAATGCAAATGCACGACAGCTTCAACATCTTCCACTACAAATACTACATTTTACATAAAGTTTACATCATTTTATACACTTTTCTATTTCAGTATTGATTTCCAACTTCTCCGGGTTTTCAATTTCGTGCAAGGCACCTGGCCTGGTGCCTCACCTTCGGACATCAGCGTCGCGTACAACACACTATTCGCCACATCCCTTGCACAGACCTCAGCTCACAGCGACTCACCTGAAGTGTTGACAGCCAATGTAACCTATATGATACCTATATGCCTATATGATACATAATTACATAATGTACATGATATGTACATATACAACATACATCAACATACTATGACTATATCACTATATCTGTCTATGCCTTTCAAGCAATGGCACAAAGTGAAGTTTGTCACACATGCTTCACGGCTGTCCTTCTCCTAACAGTTACACTGCTAGTCTTTTGGTTTTTTGGCTGCAGGTCGCAGGCCATAGGCAAGCCCCTTCGGTGCGAAATTCGCCAACCCTGCCCTGAGGCCCTGAGGAGCCAACAAAACCAACTCCAGCGCTTACAGAGCCCTGGAAGATAAGCAGTCAACAAAAAAATAAACAATTTACACCCCAAATTACACCGTTTACACCCCAAATCGCACATCTTTTGACATTCTTTGACGTGTCCAGCGTCTTTTCTAGCGGTAGCATCTTCCATCTGCGATCATCTCTGCGGTTCTGGTCCGTCTGAAACGGCCTTCTCGAACGACCAAAGCTCCATAGGCATGGCTCGAAACCCGAGCCGATCTGGTAGTCCGGGGTCCCCTCCCCCACACCTCAAGATGACAAATCACCAAAATTGCAGAAGATACCCTTCTCTTTCCATTGCAGACCGGCCACGCCGAAGCATGTGGGGGAGGGCAAAGACTGCCATCCTGCACATTTCATGAGTTTCAAGCACCTGAATCAACAATCCAAGAGGGGGTCTTGCCCCAAAAGGCAAGGCTTGCACGAAACCTACAGAAACATCCGCCACCGGGTGGTCGAAGTGCTACGATCATGGAAAAACGAAACGAAAGAATGGCCCAGGGGCCCAGGTACCGTCAAATTTGTTTGGTGGATATTTGGACACTACTGTGTTTTTGTAGTTTGGGATCTGAAATTGTAGCAAATCCATGGACTGCACCTTGCCTCGTCATCAGCGCCCTCGTCCTACACAGGTAAAAATGATAAAAAGGAGATGAGTTTTGCGAAGTTCGACTATTCGAGGTCAACAGATCGAAATGTGATTTCCGATAAAGAGTCATAAAGAGTCATAAAGAGTCATAAAGAGTCATAAAGAGTCCAATGTTGACCAAAAAATCAGAATCAGCGTTGACTCGTTGACGTGTTTTTTTACCAAAGAATTTCAATCCTCGCCGCACACGGCGAAGCCAGCGGACTGGAGGACCTCGTCGGCCTCACAGCTGGACATTGGAAGAATACGATGTCACTAATTTGTCATTGTGTATTGGCACATGTCACGAGATGTGAATTTCCGTTGTTTTAATCAAATGAGACTCATGGAACAATTTATGTGTCTCACACCATTATTGTTCTGACTTCTTGACACATACCTTTTTGATTGCACTCATGAATTTCGAGACTTTCAAAATCAAAGTAAATGCAAACCAAGTCAAAATGTTCAGCAACAACCAGGTTGTATGGCCTCTCCTGCCGTCGTCATAGGGAGTCAACCTCATGGTCCAAGAATAAGATTTCGCAGCACAAAAATCGTACGGCATGCCGGAAATTCGGAAGTTTGAGGAGCAAGCACGTATCTCTCAGACCCCCAGCATTCACCTTGTCAAAACACATTTCCGACGAAAACATTGGTTGCAAGCGAAGGTTGTTTTGAACATGTTTCAGACTCTGGCGCGTTCGTAACGCAACATCGGTTCGAGTGAACCTGCCATTCCAAATAGAGACACAAACAACGGCGGTTGAAAGAAAACACACCGACCTCACCGAGGAAAACACCAGTTCATGACCAACCACAATGGTAGCAACAGCATCATCAACGCAAACTGATAAAATACATAAAAAATCAGTGACGACGGCAAGCAAATATAAGGGGACAAAACGAAAAAACACTGCACAAATGACCCGTGCAAATTGAAAAATCAAAACGCCACGATCTGAAAAACCCTGAGCAACTGACGTTTAGAAGCGATTGAAACGCGAAAATATACGAAACCTCAAGTGAGAGGGAACGAACACTGAAATTTTGTTCAGAAACAGTTTTCAAGCACCTGTTTGTGCGCAAGCAAACAACTAGGGCACCAACAAACACAACCTCCGTGGCAAGTCTGCTTTAAATTTATTTGGCACACATTGAAATGACAATTTATCGCGCCTGAAATCACCAGAGTGCTCTAATGAGCAACTCGATAGACTTTTGCAAAGGTTTGTCACCTTTGTAACTACAACGCGAGCCAAAATTGCAAACACAACCACAGCCCCATGCGACAATATTCTGGAGAATTTTGCCAGCCATGTCACCAAACCATGTTCAAATCAATGGGACACGGGATTTTCGCACATGTTTTTTGGAAACGTCATCCTGTTTGATAAACATGTTGTTGGTTTGTTTTGCTCCCACTGCTCTTTGCTTTGCGGTTTGTTGTTACAAAATGCTAGGTTCCAAAAACCCAATGACATGACTGCAAAATGCATGTCACTGTCTGACTTCTCATGTTGGCCACAACAACGATGCAAAGATATGTAAGGAAGATGTTCACCCTTTTCCAAAGGGCCAATGCGTCTCGACAGGCATTGGGCCTAGAGTGCACATCACTTCAAAGCTGGGTCGTTGTGGGTCGGCGCTTCTGAAGTGATTAAATCACACAGCGGTCGTTCACCCCCCCCCCCTCCCCCCCCCCCACCCCCCCCCCCCGCCCCACCCGCCTGTGTTGGATAGTGCGTCCGCCTTCCCGAGGTCTTGTCTCCGCTTGTCTCCCATTGTCTCCCCACATGTGTGCCTGTGTTGGATGCTGCGTCCGCCTTCCCAAGGTCTTGTCTCCCCTTGTCTCCCAATGTCTCCCCACATACGTGTGCCTCTGTTGGATGGTGCGTCCGCCTTCCTGAAGTCTTGTCCCCCCTTGTCTCCCATTGCCCCCCATTGTGGCACATGCATGTGTGCCTGTGTTGGAAGGTGTGTTCGCCTTCCCGAGGTCTTGTCTCCCCATTGTCTCCCCTTGTCTCCCCACATGTGTGCCTGTGTTCTTCCCGAAGTCTTGTCTCCCCTTGTCTCCCATTTTCTCCCCACATGTGCGCCTGTGTTGGATGCTGTGTCCGCCTTCCCGAAGTCTTGTCTCCCTCTGTCTCCCATTGTGGCACATGTGTGCCTGTGTTGGAAGGTGTGTTCGCCTTCCCGAGGTCTTGTCTCCTTATTGTCTCCCCGCATATGTGTGCCTGTGTTGGATGGTGTGTCTCCCTTCGCAAGTTCTTGTCTTCCCTTGTCTTCCATTGTCTCCCAATGCCTCCCATTGCTCTCATTGTCTCCCATTGTCTCCCCACATGTGCGCATGTGTTGGATGATGCGCCCGCCTTTCCAAGGTCTTGTCTCGCCTAGTCTCCCCCTGTCTCCCCTTACCTCCCCATGTTTTTCTTTGTTTCGCATTGTCTCCCTTCTTGTTTTCTTTTGTTGGATGGTGTGTCCGCCTTCCGGAGGGCTTGTCTCCCCTCTTGTTTCCCTTTGTTGGATGGTGGGTCGGCCTTTCCGAGGCCTTGTCTCCCCTTGTTGCCTTTCTTGTTTCCCTTTGTTGGACTTCCCTTGTCTCCCCACATGTGTGCCCGTGTTGGATGGCGCGTCCGTCTCCCCAAGGTCTTGTCAACCCTTGTCTCCCATTGTCTCCCCACATGGGTGCCTGTGTTGGATGGCGTGTCCGCTTCCCGAGGGGCGCACACTGAAGGCAGCAGGCAGGCAAGCAAGCAAGCAAGCAAGCAAGCAAGCAAGCAAGCAAGCAAGCAAGCAGGCAGGCCAGCAAGCCAGCCAGCCAGGCAGGCAGGCAGGCCAAGCAGGCAAGCAAGCAGGCAAGCAAGCAAGCAAGCAAGCCAGCTGGCCAGCTGGCCAGCAAGCAAGCAAGCAAGCAAGCCAGGCAAGCCAGGCAAGAAAGCAAGCAAGCAACTGAGCAACCGAGCAACCGAGCAACCGAGCAACCGAGCAACCGAGCAAGGCAGCAAGCAAGCAAGCAAGCAAGCAAGCAAGCAAGCAAGCAAGCAAGCAAGCAAGCAAGCAAGCAAGCAAGCAAGCAAGCAAGCAAGCAAGCAAGCAAAGCAAGCAAGCAAGCAAGCAAGCAAGCAAGCAAGCAAGCAAGCAAGCAAGCAAGCAAGCAAGCAAGCAAGCAAGCAAGCAAGCAAGCAAGCAAGCAAGCAAGCAAGCAAGCAAGCAAGCAAGCAAGCAAGCAAGCAAGCAAGCAAGCAAAGCAAGCAAGCAAGCAAGCAAGCAAGCAAGCAAGCAAGCAAGCAAGCAAGCAAGCAAGCAAGCAAGCAAGCAAGCAAGCAAGCAAGCAAGCAAGCAAAGCAAGCAAGCAAGCAAGCAAGCAAGCAAGCAAGCAAGCAAAAGCAAGCAAGCAAGCAAGCAAGCAAGCAAGCAAGCAAGCAAGCAAGCAAGCAAGCAAGCAAGCAAGCAAGCAAGCAAGCAAGCAAGCAAGCAAGCAAGCAAGCAAGCAAGCAAGCAAGCAAGCAAGCAAGCAAGCAAGCAAGCAAGCAAGCAAGCAAGCAAGCAAGCAAGCAAGCAAGCAAGCAAGCAAGCAAGCAAGCAAGCAAGCAAGCAAGCAAGCAAGCAAGCAAAAGAGCAAGCAAGCAAGGCAAGGAAGGCAAGCAAGCAAGCAAAAGCAAGCAAAAGCAAGCAAAAGCAAGAAAAAGCAAGCAAGCAAGCAAAAGCAAGCAAAGCAAGCAAAGCAAGCAAAAGCAAGCAAGCAAGCAAGCAAGGCAAAGCAAAGCAAAGCAAAGCAAAGCAAAGCAAAGCAAGCAAAGCAAGCAAAGCAAAAGCAAGCAAGAGCAAGCAAAAGCAAGCAAGGGCAAGCAAGGGCAAGCAAAAGCAAGCAAAAGCAAGCAAAAGCAAGCAAGCAAGAAAAAGCAAGCACGCAGCAAGCAAGCAAGCAAGCAAGCAAGCAAGCACGCACGCACGCACGCACGCACGCAAGCAAGCAAGCAAGCAAAGCAAGCAAAGCAAGCAAAGCAAAGCAAGCAAAGCAAGCAAAGCAAGCAAAGCAAGCAAAGCAAGCAAAGCAAGTAAAGCAAGCAAAGCAAGCAAAGCAAGCAAAGCAAGCAAAGCAAGCAAAGCAAAGCAAAGCAAGCAAAGCAAGCAAAGCAAGCAAGCAAGCAAGCAAGCAAGCAAGCAAGCCCACAAAAGGCCCCCCCCCCCCCCCCCCCCAAAAAAAGCAAGCAAGCAAGCAAGCAAGCAAGCAAGCAAGCAAGCAAGCAAGCAAGCAAGCAAGCAAGCAAGCAAGCAAGCAAGCAAGCAAGCAAGCAAGCAAGAGGCAGGCAGGAAGGCAGGCAGGCAGGCAGGCAGGCCAGCCAGCCAGCCAGCCAAGCCAGCCAAGCCAGCCAAGCCAGCCAAGCCAGCCAAGCAGCCAAGCCAGCCAAGCCAGCCAAGCCAGCAAGCCAGCCAAGCCAGCCAAAGCCCAAGCAAGCAAGCAGCCAAGCCAGCCAAGCCAGCCAAGCCAGCCAAGCCAGCCAAGCCAGCAAACCAGCAAACCAGCAAGCAATAAGCAATAAGCAAGCCAAGCCAAGCCAGCCAAGCCAGCCAAGCCACCAAGCCAGCCAAGCCAGCCAAGCCAGCCAAGCCAGCCAAGCAAGCAAGGGGGCAAGGGGGCAAGCAAGCCAGCCAGCCAGCTAGCAAGCAAGCAAGCCTGCCATGCAAGTAATCCAGAGCAAGCAACAACTTTGCATGCAGGCAAGCAAGCCAGAAACGCAGCAAGCAAGCAATTGAGGAAGTAAGCAAGCGAGCCAGCCACCGTAAGTAAAGATTTGAGCCATCCGTAGAAAAACCTTCGAGCCGACCCTTCGGAAAAACTATAAACCAACTTTCACTAAAACAAAGCAACCCTGAACCAACCCTAAATAAAGTTCTAAGCCAACTGCAACCCAAATCCAACCTTACTTATCCAAACCCTAAATGAATTTTAAATTGTAAACGAATTGACACTAAACACTAAACAGCAAATAAATAAAGCTTTAAACCAATCTTGGACCAACCCTAAAGAAAATTCAAAATAGAAACAACACATCAATCATAAATAAATGTTGAACCGACTTTAAAAGAAAAACATTGACCAGCCTGAAATAGAAAGATAAACTGACCCCTAGTAAAGCACCAACAATTTTGAAATACAACCTGGAACCACCCCCAAATAAACTTTCGTTAAACCTTGAACCAATCTTCAATAAAGCACAAATCAACCCTAAATAGATCTCTAACCAGCCCCAAACCAATTCCAAACCGAACCGTAAACAAATTCAAAACATAAAGTGCGCCGGCACTACATTGACCCTAAACCAACTTGAATTAGCCATTAAGCCAACTTTAACAAAACCCCAACAACTTCAAATAAATTTCGAATCTACATTCAATAAAATTGTAAACTAAAATTCACAGTCCACAAACCAGCTCTAATCAAACCTTAAGAACCATCCCCAAATCAACCCTTAACCAACCCAAACCGATTATAAAGAACCCCT